TTTTTTTTTAACAAGTTTAAGTTGTCACCTAAAGTAATCCAATGGCCTGTATGTTCGGATTTACTTTCCCGAACAAAGGGACATCCACAAAATACTCGGTACAACCAACAACAGCGTTCAAATAAAAAGCCAAGTAAACTAAACCAAAAGCTTTTAGACGATCAGCCACTGGGTTTTCCCTGAAAACAAAATGTAGAAAAAGTTGCTTTCGGTTGGGTGTGGAGACGTCAAAGCTGCAGCCCCCTGTCAGTCAGAGACATGAGACAGGGGGCTGATAGCCTCTGCTGGTGACCAGAGGAAACTATCAGGAAGTTCTACAACTGCCTCAAATTTAGGGAGACTTTAGTCCAGTTAACGTGGTTTTTGCAATGTCACGATTTTAGCTCGGGAGTGACTCTTTCAGCGTGTTTGATAGAAACCTGGATGAAATATCCTATTGACAGTTTGAATGCAAGTTTTTCCCTAAGGGTTTGAAAACCTGCTCGGATGGCAAATATATAAGTTGAAGCTAAAGCTCACGTGCGTGATCTTACAGTTTTCAGCTGATTTGTTATGGAACTGTTGTTAACATTCAATATTTACATTATTGAAATGAAGTCATAGTTTTGTCATTTAGGTCTACTGTTGGAGTAGCATCCCATAAAATCTAAATCACATCCCGGAGCACTGTAAAGCAACACAGATATCCAGGTTTTTGGACTTTGGGCTCTTTTGTCTGATTCCATTTATTTATTTGCATATATGATGAGAACATATTCTACACATTAAACCGCACTGTCATTTGAAAGGTCGAATTGCCTCTGACAGATGATATGAGACAGAACTGCTTTGAAAGTCCATCATTTATAGACCATGAATACAGTCCTGTAATAAGCAATAATTTAATTTCTTGATTAGGCCTGTATATTACAGTGCGTAAGCGCACTCACACACGCACAAGTTATTGTAGTCTATAATTTACACTTACAGTAAATCACTTAATAGATAAATTAAAATGACTATTTTCTTACTTGAGCAAATAGGTTGTGCAGCTCATAGTGACGGTAAGGTCCAAATATTTGCATCCATACGATGATAACACCGAGGATTTACTTTGAACACTGTGTTTTAGAGCAGAAGGTCTGTAAATGTGTGCTGCATTTTATGGCTACTTTGTAACTGAACTATTTCCAAGTGGATGCGGGCTCTCCTTAATTTTAAGTAATAGCACACCTATTTTATCAGATGCTTAGTCCCAAGAGATAATGTTGTTTATGTTGCAAAATCACAAACAAATAAAAATCAACCACAAGTTTCAACTAAAAGGTTTCCTTTTGGGGGGGCGGGGGTGTCAGGCTTCCCTTGGTGGTTTGTTTTTCTTGAAGGAAGCTTTAAAAGCGTTGCACAAGGCTATAACTGTGGCAACCTGTCTGCAGAGAATCAAAGGGAGAAAGAGGGAAGAAAGGCCCTTTGTTAAGGCTATTGCCCTGTCTGGACAGGACCAGTGGATTCCAGGAGGCTAATTTCAATATCGAGGACACAGTGTACTAGACAGTGACCTTGACAGTGCTGTATGCTCAGTTCACCACGTCTTTTTTTAAGCAGCGGGTTTTCGTTTTGAGCACAGGGCCTATAGCGTCAGATGTGACATCATCGCTGAGCTAAGACGCATTAAACAGACGAGTCGTTGTTTGAATGTGAAATGTGGATCTGGAGCGGTGGATCGGAGGCGTGGAGAGACGAGACAAGGAGGCGCAACACATGGCCCCTTTCCCCGAGGTAAAGTGACAGCTGAAGCCTACACATTACTCGCTCACTGGATCACCGTCCGGGCCATTTTGTTGTAAACGTCACACTGCATAGTTTGGCTTTTGGTAATGGTTAGCGTGAGAAACCAGAGAAGCCATGAAATGATACCAAGTGTTGACACCACAATGCTCCTCTTAAGTCTGAAGCACTAACTATTCTGTTGCATTGATGCTGTGCTTCATTGCCAGACTCACTAACTGGATAGAGGAATGTGTCCAAGGGCCAAGAATGAAATCGCAACGGAACTTATCCAGCTTAAACATTTGATATTTTTCTTTCTATTTAAGGCTAGAACAGGGCTCTGTACCTTTGGAACGGGACACATGGTCACAAGTGTGGGATACAGCTATCATATATCGACTGACCTGCAAGTCGTTCCCAAACCAAAGTGTAAATGAATGTTCTCACATAACACTTCAATGGCAAGTTTGTAGCAGGCAACTAACAACATTCATCACGCATGTGCAAACTGCTATAACCCGCCATTTGTATTCAGCTTCATAAAAGTTATCAGTTCAGGAGACGAGACTGTTTTTTTTTTATACCATTTGAACTCGCATCAATAATTCCAGGATAAGGTGACGCTGCTTTTTAAATCAGCGAAATGCCAGCGTGCAGCCTTATTTTTATGGCGATGGGATGTCAGCCCTCACCATAAACTGCCACTGCCTGCAAGGCTGTTTTATATGTTGATTCAGTTTTATTGATTCCAATTTAGGCTATTTGATTTGTTTAAATGAAGTATTTGAGTTCAATATCAAGGTCAATTGTGACTCTCCATCCTGAACTTGAGTAAACTGAAGGCGACATAGTTGGGTACACTTCAGGTTTTTATTTTTCATTCTACTTCCGTACGCTTGAGTCAAACTGTTTGTCCCTGATGAAATAAGACTTTAAAAAAGTTCCATAACTGAGCAATAAGCAGCTTCCCACTGCCTGACTACTGACAACTTGTGTAATCCATTAATTGATTTGGTATTTTTAGCCTGTAGTCGAGAATGGGGTGGTGACAAATGATACATTTATCATGGGAACAGAAAGCCATAAACGGTGTGAATGTGTTCCTGGATTTATTTTTCAATTATAATGAGTCTGTGGACAGAGCAATTCGGAAGACACGGGCCAGTCATAAGAATATGCTTCACAATAATACTTGGGCAGTTTGATGACTAAAGGCCACATTAGAAATTCTTGCGCTGTAGCTGATGCCAGAATGCCTGAATCCGCATGCATATCACGGCCACGTATTGCGCAGAAAAGGTGCACTGTGGTGGAGTCTCTTAAAGGTTTTTTGTTTGTATAAAAGTATTTATGTGACAGAAGATCGCCTACATTAATGCACCTCACGCATTTGTTCAGTGACTTCCGACCTGCATTGACAAATCAACGAATTAGGGAGATATACAGCAGAGTGACTCTCAGCTGATTGAATCAGTTAAGTGTCCTCTGATAGCTTGTAAAATTCATAAAAGAATTGTGAGAGGTGTAACAATCCCACTAGAGTTTGACTGCGAACGTTTATTGGAGGTTATCTGTTAAAGTTGTTCAAGTGAGGTGTACTACGGGATATTATGTGAAATATACCCTGTTAAAGTTACCTTGTAGAACAGATTACCGTCCTCTTTTACAGAGCTAGTGGCTTCAACCTGCTGACCCCGTTACTGTAAATATGAGAAGAGTGCGGCAATGAGCATCAGTCTTTTCTTAAAACAACCTTGTAAAATTTGGACTTCACAGCTTTATATGACGAGGAATTCATCAATAATGTGTTAGAAAACAAGGTGCCATGTGCGCCCGCTCCTTAAAAATTAAAAGGTTTTCATAAGAAACAGAATTTAAGAAACTTTTGCCATCTTATGAAGGTATTAAACGAGGCCACGGGCAGTTCCAGTAGTTTAAGAGGAGAAGCAGCCTTTGGGACTCAACATGGTAAAGAAAAACAAAATTCTACATTTTTAATAAAAGCTTTATAGTATTTTTTAAAAAGCATATAAATCTCTGTAATACATTAGTTCATGTTTGTTTTGTCTGAGCTGGACCGAGTGGGTGGTACCATGTGTAGCAGAAGTTAGCCATGACACGTGGTGTGAGGAGGACCAATCAGACGCCCCCCCAGGTTTAACTATGTTAAATGTCAGATTGCAATAAACTAGAAGCTGTTGGTCGGGCCCGCGGAAATGGGCGAGCATAATCTCCTTAATCCAGGGTTTGTGGGACCTTTGGTAAACATCCACACTGGAGACACATTTTACTTTCCGAATTTCAGAGCCTCAGGGGGACAACTGGCGGGGCTACCGTCTCTCTCCTACCCGAGAAGGGACAATGTTTGCTCCCTCCCGTGGAATCCTTCGGAGCCGTGCAATGGATACTCTCAATCCTACTTTAGCAGCCCTGTGTCTATTAACCCTTCTTTCAATCGCTCGTGTGAAATTACCAGACCAGATGAAGGCAAATGTTATTATAACAACAGCAACGGGAACCGGGAGACCTGCTCAGGTGGCAGCAACCTCAAACGAGAGGATAGGGCGAGAGACACATCATCCCTAACATCTGACCACGGGATGCACAGCAGCACTGCAACCTTCTCCAAATATGATTATGGAACCGAGCAGCTAACGCAAGACCCGCCATCCTGTCAGTCAATGGAGTCCGACTCCAGCTCCTCTCTGCTCAACGAGAGCAGCAAACCTTCATCCAGCGACACACAGACCCTGGTGTCACCGGGAAACCATTCAAGCAACATTGCAGCAAGCGGAGGTGGGTGGAAGCCTGTTCGTTTTAAATGAGCCTCTATTGTATTATACACGCACAATCACATTATTCATAAGAAGGCTGCACATAAGGTACACTTACGGTATTAAACCGTCATTAGAGCTTTGTCTCATGATGCACAGTTTGCAGCAGAGATTAGCCTGCATGGCACTTGCGTGGTGTGCAAACGCCGCTAGGGGTTGCCCTAAAATACTCCAGGCTCCATGTGGTTGACTACAGTTAGGCTGGAACCTCACCAAACCATATTATTTACCAGTGTTATGCATAACTAATCAATTCTGCCCTCACATTTCCATATAGCTTACATGAGGACCTGTGGTTCAGACACGTTAATGTTTTGTACACACAAATAAGTGTTGTGATTTAAAAGGGGTGATCCGTTTTGGTCGACTGCACTGAATATAGAGTTTTCTTTTTAATGACTCGTAAACAGAATTAATATGTGTCGCTGTGTGCCCAAGAGTCATTTAATATGCTCAAACTCAGTAATAAGTCGGGCGTATTTGCAAGCACAGCATAATTATCACATCAATGCTACTTGAACTGCAACAGTAAAACTTCCTGTGACACAACCCGCATAGTGGTGGTCTCAGCAGAAGAGGTTGAAACATAAAAAAGGTTTTAAAAATTGCGCAATTGGTCTGGAAATTGGATTTGTCCAGGCAAAGACCAAAACAAATGCAATTTGTGTGTATGTGTGTGTGTGGGTGGGTGGGTGGGTTGGGGGGTGGTGGGAGTGAGAGCCTCCAGGGGTGTCATTTCTCTGAATTTTAATATAATGCAGAATCTCCACATCTGGCATCTTTAGCACAGCACAGAAGGCTTCTCCAGCTTACGCACTGTTGTCTGCGTTTCCTCCACCGCAGACATCTTTGCTTTGCCATTATAGTGTAATTTGACTTCTTGGTAGATTTCTTTTGATTGCTCCTTAAATGAATAGTAAAAACAAACCTGCAATAAATGAATTGCCCAAGCTAGCCATGGACAACTGACACACCCCTGTAGGCTCCCCATAACCTTGGAGGTGACCGTGATTGTGCAGTTGTAGTGACTGATCCCGTTGTATGCACCCCCACTTTCCTCCAGGTGCCCCGTGGTATCCGATGCAAACTCGAACCAGAAAGAAACGCAAACCCTATTCCAAACTCCAACTGGCTGAGCTAGAAGGGGAATTCATGCTGAACGAGTTCATCACCAGGCAGCGGCGGAGGGAGCTCTCTGACCGTCTGAACCTCAGCGACCAACAAGTCAAGATCTGGTTCCAGAACCGCAGGATGAAGAAGAAGAGACTCATGCTGAGGGAGCAAGCTTTGGCCTACTTTTAGAGATGCGGCAAAAGGTGAATCGATAGGCAGTAAAAGCCAAGCCTTCTGCGCTCCCCTTAGGTCTTCCTACAATGCATGCACTAACCTATCCATCGTTTACATTGCAGGCAGTTATTGCAACGTTTTCTGATATTAGTTTTCTGAAAAGTGCAGGCTACACCAGCCCAACATGAGCCACTATCTGGCGTTCGAAGCTCAGTGGCACTGCCTTCATGTTTGGTATACTAATCACACAACATCGTTTGCTCAGATGCTCAGTCTGGGATAACACGTAATGTCACCATCGTTTTTGTTCCTTTTATTCCGAGAAAATACAGAGGGAGCGGGGTCCACACGGTAAAACCTTAAAACAGGCCCAAAATAAAAGCGAAGCCAGAAAGACAGAGGAGCCTGACTGGCAGGCTTGAGCCGCATCCGCGCAGCAATTTGTCTGAGGTTATGAACTGGAAGAACAATCTCCTTCCCTGTTGATCCCATAACCGCAGTTTGTTTGGTAAGCGAAATCCTTATCTGCTTTCCATAGTTTAACCCCCCACCCCCCCCACCCCACCCTTGTGTGACACGTTCACGGTCACGGACAGGAAGTCTGAGAGTCTGCAGGAGGAGAGTGAAGACTAAAACGTTATGGCTGCGTGTTGAAAAACGAATCGCCATGACTTTGTTCATGTGCTTACAAGTTTCTAAAGATATTTTCTTACTTTTATTACCTTCCAACTTGTCTGAACAACCACACAATCCTGCATGAGTTGCATTATTTTAGTTGAGTGATATCATCCGTTTGAATTCGAGCTGCTATTGTAAGTTCGCCTCCAGAATGTGTCAGTGCAGAAAAATGTACTGTATCCTACAGTAAACTAATATCTGTAGCTTAATCGAAATATTCAACAGTTTAAGTACATATTAGCCCCACTTGGTCAAACCAAGTAAAGTAACAGCTGAAGGGGTAAATATGTTTTTAAGCTTAAACGGACATTTCTGAATCCTGGTGCTGATAATAGAAAATAAATATGTAGACATTTAAAAATGAACAAACCGTCTGTGCTCGAATGCAGCGCATTACCTGTCATGTATAATGAGTAAGCTACAGTAGTGAAATGTATTTGCAGCATGTTATTGATGTCAAAGCTACAAGTCATGTTCTGCAGCCACTTTTTCGGTAGATGACTTTTGTACATTTTTTCCGGAACAAATCAAAGGCGAACAAAACGTAAAAGATTTTTGACACATGCATATATAAAGAATGTATTATTATTATTATTATTGTTATTATTATTATTATTATTACTGAAAGACGGATGGCCTTTAGGCCTATTTAATGTTCCTGCTCCTTGCAATGTGTTCAGTGTTGTCCCCTTCCTTACCTTGTACTCATGTATAACTTTGTAAAATGGAATTACACGTTATTATTTGCATCCTGTTTCAGGATTCATTATCACTATGTAATAGTGTTTTATGTTATTGATCGTCTTGTACAATATAGCATTCCATATACCATGTTTGTGGTTGTAAGGGTTTGAATTGTAGGCCTATGATATTATACTGCCAAGGATGGATATAAGAAACGGTATGCAAGAAATGTTGACATATGACGTTCAAATAAACCCTGTTATTGTGTAGTAGACTTGTTGACTGTTGCTCTTTTTTGGGGTCCCTCATAGCATTTTCTTCTTTGCGCTCGTAAGGATTGCTACGTTGTCTTGTAAAAGTAATAATGATATGAATGTATATGTCTAAGATCTTCAATAAACAGAATATTGAATCGTTTATTGGTGGTGTTAGAATGCTGTTCTCGATGTTCTGCTTTAAAATCAGGCTCTCTGCCTGGCAATAATTTTATTAGACCTGTAACACAGTTCAAACATGCGTTTGACCACCGCAGTGGAGTAAAGATCTGAACATTAATGAGGCGCTTGGAATCATTTGAGAGGTTGTTTTGTGAGAACATAATTGCACAAGCTGTGAACTATAAGCGATAGGAGCCCACACAGGTTGGCTTTGTTTTATTGGAGCTGCTTTGCTGAGGTAGCCTTTGGCTATCCATGCAAAATGGCGGCCATATTCCCCATCTTGCACTGGATATTATTCCTATTTTACAGTCTGTTACACTACAGATATTATCCAGCTACTACATTAGTTTGAATCAAAGAGCCTTTGGTTCCTCTTGAAACTGGACCCAATCAGTGCCACTATGCTTCGAGCCTATGACGACGCAGCAAAACACGCAAAGGCTTTGTAAAGCAGCACTATGCAGCAGTGCTCCAGACCTCTTGGACCCGCTTTTCCCTGCATCCTTTCTTCTGGTTTGCATTAGTGATCCGAACTCGTGATGACTGCATATTAAATCGCTGTTTATTAATACATGCACACAAATCATATAAACCCCCTTTCAAATGGCATACATGCCTACAAACGCCATATGATTTGATAGTTAGATAGTTCATGATAAATAATAGATAGTTGTGTAATAAACCCACATCTTACACTCTACAAAGCTCTCCCTACCGGCAGGGAAGTGTAAAGCAGTGCAGGGCTGTGCAGTGTTTTCATATCAGCTCACAAATCAAGAATGAATGCGTTTGTCCTCAACAGCTTAGGTGAAGCAGGACCAATCATTGTGCTGACTCAGTGTCGAGATCAGATGTTGCGTTTTCCCGTGAACTGTAAACATCCGCACCGACCCACTGAATGGTTTTCCTGATGTAGGTTGTGTATAATTACAACATATACACCCATGCCAGCTTACGTCAGCTCATTGCTTAACACACATACTCGCCTGGGTGTTTTATTAACTATCGGCTTCAGCATTTATCAGTTCAGATAAGATTCAGTTATTAAAAGACACGTTTTAGTTGACAAAGCCTTGCTGCAGAACTTTGCCTATTTACTTTCCTTCAAAGATTCACCTTCCCCAGTTAAACTGACTACACCCTAAACCATAGCAAATACCATCCTTATGTAATCAGCAGCTCTGTTCTTTATGTATTCCCTATAGTACATGTATGGAATGAACATTAGAGCTGTAAGGTCCTTCATGAAAAAAGAGGGTTTGCAGCTATCAAAGCAATAAACAGCTGTTTTCCAAAATATCATCTGTGAATATTCTAAGCAAATAATTTAATCTTCTCAAGTTATTCGTGAATATAATATGTCTATAATATACCTGATGAAAATGAGACTAGACATCACTGGTTGGTTTCATGGTTTCATGATTCCTACATGTACATTTTACGCATTTGATTAAGTTTGGAGAATAATTTCATTTGAAGCATTTTAACATGGATCAGATAACATTTACATATAATAAGAGAAATGGGCACCAACAGAGGGATAGACGGTGCATTCGTTGTGAAGTGACACCAAGCTGATGGAAAGCATAACCAGTAAGGGTACCAAGTATAACACTGCGGTGATCTTGAATTGCTTGTGCTGAATTCGATCACCCAGAGGACATCAGTCATAAACGCCTCCAGTCTTTTTAGCCTGTCAAACGCGCTGTTGACCATGAAAGGAAATAAACTAGTGTCTTATGTCTGTGTGTTGCCTTGTTAAATGGGTTAAAGAAGAAGAATAGATGCAAAATGCACCATGACGCTCCTGACCGTCCTGTAGTTCAGGCATTAACCGTAAAATATTTCAGCTAGATATTTTCTAGAATCTTCTCAGTATATAAGTTGTTGGCATTACCACGTATAGTGATTTAATTACAGGTTTAATAACTTGTATTTCTACTTTTATTTACTTTTTAAAATTGCAAAACAGTGTGGCGATTTGGAAAACAGAGTGAGAGAAATGAGATAATATAACCAGAAAAAGGCGTGCAGTACATCAGCGTTCAGCCAACTAAGGAAAGTTTAAACTGAAATATACATCAGACATAATTTGCATTTGACAGGGATAACATTCGTGTAAGCATCAAAACAATCAACAGCATCGAGAACTACTTGCTGGCTGCAGGCTGAGGTGATTTCTCTGTGAAATGGTGGAATTATTTGGGCTCAAGGAAGTGACTGTTTGGTTTTTGAACGGTGCCATGTAGTTTTAACTTGGACTTCACACCAGACTGTGTAATCTACTGTGTTTAGCGCATTTATTTTTGGTGTTTGGGTTCTTTATTTTGCATTTTTTGTGTTGGGAAGGTATTAAGATTTCAAGTTCAACAGTCCGCTTAACGTTTCACTGCGTCTTCACCTTCTACCTCTGTGCGTAACAGCCTATATTAGTTTGGACTGGGGGAACTCAAAAAGAAATCGTTCGCCATTGCGAACACTCTTAAGATGTTGTAAAACAGGGTGAAAAAGTTGGCTTTCCAGGTCTTTACAACAAGTCTTCCACTGTTCTTGGGCACGTTTGACTTTGAGACTGGCTAAATCTGTTTATGGCGGCCTGTCTCCCCGTCCCAAAGGTCAGCGAGCTTCCCAGTGCCCTTCGCAGAGAACTTGTGTGGCATGTGGTCTATGTCCCCCGCCGCCGTTTATGGTACGAAGCTGGCTAGAGAGATAGAAAGCAATATTATTGCTGCTAAAGTGTGTGTGGGGGTGTGTAGAGTGTGTGGGCGTGGGTGTGTGCAGGGGTGAGCAAGTCTTATGAAGGCGAGTATTGATGTGATAGAGAGAGGATGACCAGAATGCTTAATGTGAAAGACCTATATGTCGTTTCTCTCCTTTCGGGGCTGCGACATATAGATTTTGTCATGATTTGAAATGAGTTATCTGTGAGCTCTATTTTTCCTGAAATGTACTATCATATTAATTTGCTTTGCGGTAGCAGCGCACGGTCAGCATACGGAGTCTGATGTTTTCATTACCGCCTTGAAAGACACAAATTCCTCTTAGACCAATTGTCCCTGATGGAAAGAAAAGAATAAACAGAATTTCAAAATTGATTGAGGTCACTATAGCTAATTAGTAACCAGTCCTTTTCATGTTTGTATCCTTGTTTAGTTTGTTTTAGCGTCATTGTGGTTGTTCCTTTTGTGTTTTTGAAATCATCTGACAACATAGTAGCCAATGATGTTAATGCCAGTCAATGCCCAAGGGAATAGTTTGCTCATTATTCATTCGGTATTGTTTCATCTCATAATTTCACTCACATATTCAATTGAATGAGTAGATTTATTTCTCTCGTTCTTGTTGTTGTAGTGTGGGGTTTTCTTAAATGTTGTCATGTTTTTCACGTTGGGTTGCAACCCGACGGTGCCTGCTTAAAGCTCTTACAACTTCACATGGAAAACTGTCCAGTTTTGCCCAGTATTGGCTCAGTACACGGGCCTATATGCACTGTAAACTGGACTGGCCTATAGCCCCCCCCGATTAGAAATATTTGGTGTGTATAGTGGAAAGGTGGAGCTCAGACGACAAAGCAAACAAAAGCACTAAGTGTTTTAGCAGCCATTTCAACGATACATGAGTCTGTGGCTTCAAGAGCAAAGCTTCTATAATGAAACTCCTGTGCAAAACCAGCAGGATCGAAAATAATACATTTCGGTGCGAGAAGAGCCAACCAGTGCGTCCTTGGTGTCAAATATTCAAAGGATATGCTGAACTCACACTGGTGGTAGTTTCATTTTATGCACTTTAAGACAACGATGACTCAGTTTGTCACCTGATTGCGCCTCTGCTTGCAAATAACTTTAACACCTTTCAACACCTTTCCAATCAGACTTTACAATAAGACAAGATTTCATCAAACAATTATACAAATGCACTTGCGTTTAACGTGGACACAATATATGTGTATGATCATTGCATTTAAATTAGGGCAACATATGATCACACTTAAATGTTTTATCATTTTGTTTAAGTCACCAAACTATGTGCTTTGCCTGTAAGTCAGCGAACTTTTGCGCAGTGATTCGTAGGTCGTGCGTAATTTCGTACCGTCCGGCGACCAGCTTCCGAAACCTCTCAAAAACACTTTGTCTTAGTTTGACAACCTGGTTTATTTTTGACTATGGACATACTGAATTGTCACTGATTTTGAAAATATTACTTGAATAATTTAGAAGAGGTCTCATACCATCAGGCCGAGCAAAAGAATATTCTTGACTGCCTCAAATACATTCTTCACATAAAACGTTCATTATTTTAACTTTCTTAAAATGATATTAACAGTGAAATTCAGAGCCCTTCCAGCAAATTATCTAACACAAGCTTACTTTAGCTTATGTAGAATTACATTAGTTTAAAAGTAGATACACTGTAGTGTTTACTGCACCTCTGCTCGAATGACTTGTAGCACATCTAAATAGGTGCCAGTGCCAGCAGCCACTATTAGGAAATTTGTTGTGATGTGAAATCATTGAATATTTCTTTTTTTTAAAAAGTGAACACATTGTTGTTAACACATTGTTTATGTCCTAGTGGTTGAAAGTGAAGGATACTCCGGAGATTACTCTAAATGTAACTGCAACACACATCCTTATCTTGCAAGCTGTTGTTGCCACCACAAACGCTTCACGCTAGGTGCACTCAGTGAGACCTCAGTAGAAAAAAAAAACAAGGCTCTTTAGTGTTGCTTGAAACTACTCGCAGCTCATACAGACAAGTTTAACTGCCTGACTTACATCCAATTAAACTTATCTAAGCCATGAGGGGACAGTAATATGATTACACAGGTTTCCCACATTTAGCCTTGACTTCAGCTAACCGTGCAGCAGTGTCTTGGTGAACTACGCCCATTGTGTGTGTGTGTGTGTGTGTGTGTGTGTGTGTTTGGTGAACACTGGATCATTTAGCTTCGGATTTATCAGCCTAAACACTATTATTTAAGGGTGCCGTTTTTTAAATGAGAGTTCTTTTTAACAAGACGGTGACACATAGGTTAACCATTGTAATTATGGTTCTAGGTAGCGATACATAGCTAAAATTCCTCAGACACAGTCATAAAGTTTGTGCCCCAACAGTGATATTTAGGCGACGAATGGCAATGTTTATAATACCATTGCTTTGCAGCAGTCAAACACCATGTTGGAAGCTGTATTTACAATAATAACCGTATGAGTATTCTTATAGAATAAGCAGAACCTGATAACTCAGATACAGACGCCTTTGCGTGCAAACTCTGCTCATTCTTAGCCTGCTCATTTGGTGCATCCAAATCAAACCGTGCTTCCTGGGTCCTACTGCTCGTTGAATCAGCTGCTGTGAGTCGTCACTTGGCAAACCACATTCTGTGACTGATGGTCAGAGCGCACCAAGGGGAGAGGGAACAATGTTTAAATGAATCGGAGAGGTGGATATTTCCAAGTGATAGACGCTGACTTGCCTGTTTTGTCCTGTTATGACAAATACTTCGACTTAAATGCAGCCAAGCCTACTGTTTCCCATTCCTTTGAACGCCTCAATTTCTCATGTGTACTGCGTAAACTCCCTTTTTTTGCATTTTCTGTTGTCTTGATCAGCAGCCCCAAGTTTTAAATTTTATTAGTGCATCACTTATTCATACCCTCACATTACTTATTTATACTGCTCTAACAATACACATCATTGAAATGATTATGATGAGGAAATGATTTGACAGTAATGTTTTGGCTGTCTGCCTCGATTCTAATGCCTAGTGAAGGAGATATTTGTAGGTTTTATTTAGCCTATTGCCATTGTTTTATTCTGAAGATAAAAAAGATGGCCAGTAATGCTGACATAGGGATAGATTTTAAATTGTATAATTTAGAATCCTCAGTGTAGGCCAGTTGATGGGGGTAATGAGGGTTTTCAGCTGGTGAAAACCGAACTTCAAATACAAGTCCTGCGTTTTGTTTGTAATTATGTACTGTATATTTCATTCTGTTAAAATAGACAGCGATATGTTGATATGCCATTTCGTCTTATTATGTAACGGCGCAACACAAATACTGCAGCATGTGTTGAGCATGGATGTGTCCAAACAGGCCACTAACACAGATATTTCCAAAGCGTTTCTCCACAAAATCTGCATATGTAACTGTGTTTGAGTTCTTGTTTTTCGTCCTGCTTGTCATATTTAAAATATCTTCTGTTTTGATTAATTTTACTGAAATGTTTGTTCTTACTAAAATGCAGAGTCATAGAATTTGGGGGATTTCGTAGTGATCGAAATGACTGCGTTTTTAAATGGACTGTCAAACTCAAATTGGAGAAATTGCGTTATAGCTCTCAGTGTGTGCACTGGTGCTGTTTTAAAGTTGCACAATATCTAAGTGCTGAAATCCAAATTCCTTTCATTCTCAACGTTTATGGTTTTCTATAGAACAAAGGAATTTAACCTTACTACAGCCATTCGCAGTTTTATGGTGGACGCAGAGAGGATTTTAGTGGTCAAATTCAAGTGCTGTGTCTGGACAGCTGTCTGCTTTCATTGTACTTGGATGCAGGATGCATCATGTGAGACATCCTTTTGTCTATAGAGGTAGTAAACAAGCTAATGCCACCTTTTTCACAAATATGCCTGCAGTGGACTCTCATTTCCAGCGCCCAGGTCTGATGATATTGCTTGTTTTTCAATCACCAAAGACATTAACTTTGTTTTTCATTATTTTTAAACAACACAGGTGTTCCATAAGTGATTGCAATAGAAATATTGTGTTATTGCATCATTGGATAATAATTCAAGAGTCTATTGCAACTTTTAGAAAGTAGCATATAATCATAAACAACGGACCATCGTATTAATTTCACCTTGTAATAGTATCAGTTAGTCTATAAAGATTCGGATATGGCCCTCAGCAGTACAATTAAAAGTTTACAATGACACAGGAAAGAACACCACACAAGCGTATCCCTTTTCCAAACCACTCATTTTATTACAATTTATTTAAAAAACAAAACAAAATCCAGAGGGCACGCCTCTCTGTAACAAATGGAGCAGTTTGGAACACCTTTATTAATTTGGGACTTTATTCATTTTAGAGGGAAACGTCGGCTATATCCATACTGTTTGCTCAATAGCTACAGTCTTAGTGTTCTATAGTTGTTGCTCTGCTTCGAAGCTTATAGACAAAAGCTGCAGCCCAAAATATTTAATTGTATCGACTGGTGAGACCAGTGTCCCAACACATCAATTTAACATTTCAGAGTAAGAGACCCACACGTGGTAGGGGATATTCTGGGCGGTGTTTTCCACCACAAACGGTGATAATCCTGAATCCAGCAATTTGATGGGAACCTGAGTTTTTGTTAGTTTGTAGGAGGAGATCCACGGTCTCAGGGCTTCACTGGTAGTATTACTGTAACAGCTCAGGAACTTGGATGTTGAACTGCGCGGTTGTCCTCCATGGACTTTGTCATGATCCAAAGTCAAAGGCAATAACAAGAGGGAGCCAATTACTTTAACTTCCTCAATCAACATGCCTAATGTGTATTCCGGTATTCCGCATTTGCTAACAGTTAGTTCACCACTGGTTTAGCAAGGGTTTTCATTTGATGGAAGAGAGGAATTAAAATGGCTGAAGAATATACTGCTAACTGTAAATAGATGAGCCCGGCTCATCCACGCCTCTGTTTAATAATCATGTGTGCAGCAGATTATGCAGCCACTAAAAAAACAAAAAGGGGATCAAAAGAAGTAGCACAGCCCTTAGGAAAAGATCTGCTGCATATCCACCGACCAAAGTCCACAAGTGCCCTTGGGAATCTCAGAACACCGAATAAGAACACGAGTCATTCACTGTGATGTCTTAAACTTTTTGTAAACAGTGAAACCATTATTGAGCAATATGAATGCGTTTAATGACTTTGTACTTTATTTGAACATTCTCCTAGATTACCGTAAGTATCCTACTTTCTTCAGGTGAATTTTGCAGTGTGCCATGGTTCCTCATGCTATGATAAAATAAATCATGCCAAACCCTAACCCAAGTCAAATAGTAGCTCGTATTCGTGATAATAATAATTATAATAATAATAACAATAATAATAATAACAATAATAATAACGATAATAATTATAATAATACCTGTAAACTTCACAACACTATGAAATGCATGTCACTGATTGCACTAAGCTTTCTGTGCTATGCCTGTGGAAGGAGCTGTGGCTGTTTAGCTAGCTAGCCTGCCACCAGCCCATAAACACAAACACACACACACACACACACACACACACACACACACACACACACACAACACATATGTCTCAACTGTCATAAGCCGTCAAACAGAAATCTGTTGCTGGTTTTCTTGGTGTGCCAGTGGTGTTTGATAGTTATTAGTTTGAACCTCCTCGATCGTACCTAAAGCCAACCACTCCTACACATCCAACTCTTCCAAAATGATATATGACAATATCTACTTTCGATCACGTGTCTGCTGGGCGACTTAGACGGATTGCGCGTCATCTCGCCTTCCCAAATTTTCCCTTCTGCTGCAGCTCCTATCCAAAACATCTATCTATAGTACGGAGTACGGCAGAGAGAAAGATGTTTAACTCGGTGAATCTGGGGAACTTCTGCTCCCAGACGCGCAAAGACCGGACATCCGACTTTGGGGACAGGGCAGGCTGCGCGTCCAACATCTACCTCCCCAGCTGCACCTACTACGTTCCCGAGTTTTCTGCCGTCTCCTCGTTTCTTCCACAGGCCCCGTCCCGGCAAATTAGCTACCCTTATTCCACAAATCTGTCTCAAGTACAGCCGGTACGGGAAGTTTCATACAGCTTGGACCCTGCCAGCAAATGGCACCACAGAAGCAATTATGCATCGTGCTACTCGGGAGAGGATCTGGTGCATAGAGACTGTCTTCCACCATCCACCATGACAGAAATGCTCATGAAAAACGAGAGCGTGTACAGCCATCACCATCACCATCACACCCACCCGGGCTCCAATCACCCCTCCACGGGTTTTTACTCTGGTGTGGGGAAGAATAACGTTCTCCCGCAAGGTTTCGACCGCTTTTTCGAGACCGCATACTGCAGCAGCACAGACAATCAGTCAGACAATTGTTTACAGAAGGGCGAGGGGGGAAAGCTGGAAGGCGACTCCCAGCAGCAGCAGAATCCACAGCAGCCCTCTGTTCCCGGAGCTCCGGAGCAGGAAAAAGAAGCAGAAGATGAGGAGGAACAAACAAATTCAGGCTCGTGTACCTCTTCTTCCGCAACAACCAAGGACGGCAACGCCAGCAAGAGCAGCCACTCGAGTAGGTATACCGAAGCTGTAAAATGGGGGAAGGTTAAAGGGACTAGCCCGGTGCTTTTGTCGGTCACATTTTATGTGGAGTTTTATAAGCATTCAAAGGATTTTATTATAACCCTACAAAGCTGTTTCTTGCAACGAGAAGAATTTTTACGATGAGAAAGCACTTTGAAAAAGTAGGATGTTATACACAGATACGTGCCTCTACATGGTGAGAGTCTGTGACATTTTTAAAGAGAACTATTGTGACAAATGATAACTTTGATCATGAACTTGCATAGGTCATTTGAAGGGATTTTCTCATTCGGCTGCCGAGAGTAAAAACCAACTGGGCAGAACATGCTTTTGGCGTCTTGTGAATTTTCTTTTAGCACTGGGTTTGCCCACTTTCTTGACATGATGCACAGAGTATTACAAACTTTACGGTTAAATGTCTATCTATCTATCTGTCTATCTGTCTATCTGTCTGTCTATCTATCTATCTATCTATCTATCTGTCTAACTATAACTACAGTAGTAAGTCAAATCTGTGGTAGTGAAACGAGTATTTGCTTCTTCCATATATGGAGAGACTGCATAGGCTACAAATTATGGCATTTCCTCAGTAGCCTCAGTAAAAGCTGAGACCCAGTTTTGTCTAGGATTCCCTTCGCATTTCAACCGCCTGCTATTAATGATTTGCATGCAAGCTGCCACTAGCTTGTTTTCATCTGAATTAGCATGAGATAGAGAAGTGCTTTCCTGCTGCACAGTGGTCCTACTGGTGTTTAGCTTCATGTAGGCTACATTGTACTAGCCTAGTCAGGGACCATAGAAATCTGCACAGGCCATTGCAATTCAGGGCAGTGCATTTCAACTCGCTGCCAAAAGATAGTGTAAATTGTTAGTTTAGCTCCAGATGAATGGGCAGCATATAATAGGGCGAAATACATTTGTTGTTGTATATTTATAACAAATAAACACGTACTTAGAGGCTGTAAGTTGATATTATTTACTCCAGGCCGTGGAGATATTTAACACTCTTAATGGCTGGTTTATCTGATAGCCTCAGCTACTTTGCGTGATTAATGTTGACTGAAATGTTGTCACTGCCAATGCAATTGAAACTAAACTTTTATCGCTGCCTCCACCCTAAAGCCCCTCTGTTTGTTTTTAGTGCATATTATCATTTTTAATTCCTGCTTTGCTGTGATGTTTTCTTTAGGCACCCCTCGCACAAGGAAGAAGAGGTGTCCATATTCCAAGTTTCAGATCCGAGAGTTGGAGCGGGAATTCTTCTTTAACGTTTACATCAACAAAGAGAAAAGGCTTCAGTTGTCCCGAATGTTAAACCTGACCGACCGCCAGGTCAAAATTTGGTTTCAGAATAGAAGAATGAAAGAGAAGAAGCTGAGCAGAGATCGCCTCCAGTACTTCTCTGGAAACCCTCTATTGTGAACAGGAGCAGTCACGGTCAGTGACGTTAAGGCCTACTCGTTATCTCACTGAATTGTAATCCTGGACATAATCATTTTCTACAGGAGCTCATATCACCAACAGTGCAATGTTAAAGTGGACAGTGGCAGTAATAGTCCTGCATGGGATGAAGTCGCCATTTTCTTATTGCCATACGGCGGCATTGCGTTTCCAGCAGGTTCCCAGTCAGGCCTACATACTGTAGAATAATCATTTATAATCTGTTCTCTGATATGTCCTTCTATTTATCGCGGATCTCGTTGTGTTTATTCTATTGGTCCTATAGACCAATTTGTTAATACTATCAAATGTAACAAACAATTCTTATTGCGCAAACAGTTTTTAGCTCTTCGCCTTCTCTCTGGTACACAGCAAATCACTGTCTAATTATTTCCCGACCAGAGTAATGTTGTATCACATCTTCAGGCTGCGGTGTTGGCCACCGAGAACTGTGACGTCCAATCTGTGAAATATATCTCCTTGTACAGAATAGCCTATATGCACTGTGCATTCATGACTGTAAATAGACGTATGCTGAATGTCCTCCCCCTTATCCCTGCTGCTATTTTTCACTACAGTTGTCATACACCTTTAAACAGCTTTAATTCCAACAGTCGTTAAATTATTTGCTTAAAACATTGGTGCTTTGGATTTCAGACAGAAGGGAAAAAGTGTCAGCCTGTGTATCCTTAATATAATACCTATGAAATAAACAGACACATATAGGCAACATTCAAAGCCTTTGTGATTTTTTTTTCCCATTACACCATTTCTGATGTGACTGATATTTTCTCTTGACAGGCGCAGTGTTTGGTGGTGAGTCAGACACATAAAACCCAAACCTGTTGGCCTACAAACAGTACATAACATGTGCACATTTTTAAATTGTGTTAAGGAGGAGTTATTTGCGGTAGATTTGGTGGGAGTTGTGGAGTAGTGTCGGCAGGCAAACACTTGACAGATCCTAGCCTGTTGTAGGGTTATAGCTATCACTCTGAAAGATCATGTTTAAACTGCAGTGAGCAAAGATAGGGTCCACATCTTAGAAATGTAAAGAAAGAGAGTGGAACTATAACCTCTTTTAGTGCCCACTAAATGGAATCGCCACTCTTGTAGTCTAGACGCTGCCATAAAGTCAGAGGCACTAAATGGCTATTTTTTCCTCCTAATTGCACCGTCTGTTCGGGGGGATGGCGTTCGCTTCCGCAGTAAATAGTAAACAAGCAAGACTGGATGTCCGAAGGGAGGAAAACTTGCCTAGAGATGTTCCACGTGAACTCGGCTTCTTTAGTCTACAACGTCAAACCAAACCCCAATCCCCATCTGCACACAGCTGCTGTCATGTCCACCTTTCTTCTAATCTAAAAAACCGTAGCAAATCACGTCTGTCCAGAGGACTGATTTTATCAAATGTAAGCAAGATTGAATTTTTTAAAAAGGTTTGGCCTATTAAATTCTAATGCTTTGCAGTTCAAATATAGCCGAGCATAAAAAAAACAAGTGTGTGTCTTAGTGTCCATACAGAAGCGACGTGCGTTCTCGTGCATGATTGCACGCGTGCACTAACTACAATTTATAATTAAATATAGTCTTTGAACTTCAGTAATGTCAAGGCCTTCACCTTTAACCCGCTGCAATAAAGTGGAATCAAGGAGCCTGTTTAGCCCGGAAATGTGCGCGGCGACGAAGTGGGCCAATGAGAGTGAGTGGGAACAGAAAAAGGAATGTGCACAGAGACTAACTTTGACCCCTCGCATGAAACTACACCAGGTACCTTTGCCAGCTTTAGCACGCCCAGTGAATACACTTTAATGTCTTTGGAACATGTATTCGTTTTCACACATGAAACAAACACGTTGGTATAAAGTCTCACATTAGTATTTTTTAAAGAGACTAAACATTTCGGTGTGTGGCTACATGAGTTGTCCTACAGTGGTGGAAGAAGTGGTACTCTGATCCCTTGGGCTTTTTAAGTAAAAGTAGCAATACAATCGTGTAAAATCATATGTTACAAGTAAAAGTCCTGCATTAAAAATGTCACTTAATGTTGCTGCTGCAACTTTAACTATACTATTCTAATTTCAGTTATTGCCTGTGAAGTTTCCACTGTCCTATCATTGTAAGGAATTTCTTTAAATTAATCAGATTCTGAAAAATAACTAGTAATTAAAGTTATACAATAGCTATAATGGAGTGAAAGGTACAATATTTACCTCAAATAGCTGATTTAAGGATAATCACCTCGGTTCTGTAGCAGAAAGCAATTCCTTGTGTGTAATATACTTGGCCAATAAAGGTGATTATCCTTATCCTTATTATTAAATAGCTGGTTTAGCTTATGAAGTAGCACAAAATAAAAATATTCCAGTGAAATGCATAATTGCACTTAGGTAGTAATTGAGTAAATGTAATTAGTTACTTTCCACCACTGATTTTGTAAGTGCAGGCTTGACAGTTTGTGCGTGCGTGGGTGTGTGAGTCCGATTCTTGACTTGACTCCTGCTCAGGCTGCAGTGTGTGGCTCAGAGAGATCTGATATTGCAGTTTTGTTTGGTTGGGTTTTTCCTCCTGAGTGTTTAGTTACGGACTTTAGTTTAAGGTTTTGAGCATATAATCATTATTTTAATGAAAATAAAAAAGAAACAACAGGAAGCTCTTTGTGTTTGTCTCCACATGATACACAGTTGCTGTACATATATTAAGGAGATGTGGGTATTTTCTGTGCAGGGACAGATCAGGTTCAGTCTGCATGTCAGTGTATTAGGGCACAGGGCAGCTCTGACAACAGAAACGGCGACGCACACTAGCAGAGATCAAGGCTGTCTTGGAGTGCAGCCCTTGCCACACCCACCAACCTTGGCCCTGGGACGGTGACGTGGGTAAATTGTAGGTTTCTCCAACACACAACGTCACTAGCAGAGAACTGCAGACGCTTCTGCAAATGTTGTCTATCAACCACACGGGGGCCAGGAGTCTCCCGGCCACTGTGCAGTTTGGTTTCCTCAGCGGGATCTTGAAAACGTTTCCTGAGGTGGCTGCCTCGGTGACATCAGAGAAGTGGGCTATTATTATTCGTAGAGGCATCCTCTGTCGTGGTGTGCCGTGCGACAGACGGACAGTCCTCTCTGATGGAATGTAGCTCCTGCCGTGCCTCAGTCTGGCTGGTGCACTTGGGTGTTGCAGTGAAGGAAAATGGCGGTGTGTAGATGAGGAGTACCAGGTGGGAGAAGACAGCCTGGTGCCATAAAATGTAAAAGGAAAATTAATTCATTCAGCTACATAAAAATCTGAAGAATGACTTTAAGTTTTAAGTTGTTCGATTTGATGCTGCTGATTTTAATTTATTTGTGGAAACACCGAGACCGTAAACAAATAATATTTTCTTACTAGGCCCAGGGGTAGAGTGTGTATTCCCGTAGGCAAATAAACCAAAATAACGAACAATGGCAATAAAGTGTACGTTTTAGAAACTAATACAGAAAAAATACAAAACGCAGGATATATAAATATATAGCCTATTAATATAGGCCCCTGTATATAGAGCTGTAAAATCCAACCCCTAAGGATGAGTGTTCTGGATTTTTTCCGATTCTGTTTGTAACCTATTTCGTTCTTCATTAAAGGTAATTATTCATCTGCTATAATTTGTTAACGGTTACGTGTGTTTTGCCCTTAATTGTGAATTAAATGTAGGCGGATTCCTAATTTTTTTTCCCCTCTACAAATACTAATCAAGGGGTTACAGGCTATTGAATGTTTTACTACTCACATCTCTGCACCTATCCTGTTCTATGGGGTCATAAAAAAGTTCGGCGTTGTAAAACGACCTTCTGCTAATTCTGCAATCAAATAACCCTCAAAACGCAGTTTACATTGGCGCGTTTGTAGGGTGATAGTTAGTTGTTGCCGCCCAGCTTAGTCTCAGGTTATCGATAGTTTTTACTTACATATTGCGGCAGGTGTGTGTGTGTGTGTGTGTGTGTGTGTGTGTGTGTCGTGGGAGTCAGTGGTAATAATGTAATAGGCTGCATGCTGTACTTTGATGGCGGTTACCACTCCGGTTTTTAATTAAGAACTTGCATGATTCTGGCACCATAAATTTGCTGTTGCGCACGGAGTGGACAGCAGCATGAAAGAGGACACAAAGCAGAACCTCCTCATATCCAACTGGAAAGATATTTCAAAGTGGCTGCCAGCAGCAGTTTAGCTGTATCGCCCCAGTGGCTCCTGATTAGTAGAATAAGGAATATCCCAAAGCATTCAACACCCATAGCTGTTTACAATATACTAACAACCTCCAGGTTTGAAATTAATTAGACAAAAAAGTGCTAACTGTAGTTTAGACAAGTGTAAATAACGTAGTCAGTTATATTTATTCTACTCACACTACTAGTTGCATGTATGTAGCCCAGGGTCAGTGACTTACAGGCAGGCGGTTTATGTGTATGAAGACATTCTTAATGGATTGATACACAAAAAACTGTAGCATGAAAAAACAAACAAACAAGAAAATCTATCCTCACCGCCTACTGAGTGTTTTCCCGGAACATTTTCGCCTACACAGCACAATAGGCCCAGAGCATTTACAGAAAAAAACAAAACAAAAGTAGTAGGAATTTCCTTAAACGACCCTTTTCCTGTGAGAGAAATAGATCTGGATAAACTTTTTCCCCCCCCTTAATGCTCATTATATAAACGACAAATACAGGGGTAATAAGTCCATTATACTCTATTACCTTTTTAATAAAATATTGTAGTACCAGTTGTATGCTGTTGTTGCTACAGTGTCATAAAACAGTGTGTGCTGCACAGTCTCGTGTGATTGGTTCAGACCCTCTCTTAACGATAATATCCATTCTGACTTGGCAGGACTGTCAGTCATAAACATTAATGTCACAGAGTCACATATGTGGCATCATGATGCACGTTTTCAACATTGTTCGGTCACAATATGACGCTGCCATCTCAGTAACTCCACCTGACGGTAATCTATGACATCACAATATTATGTTATGTCTCCCTTGTCTCTGACATTATCCGCACTGCCAGGTCTGAAGTATCACAATGGTCTCTGCATCTCTTGTAAAATACAAGCATTCATTACAGCTTAGTATTTTTGGCAACTTTATATTTTTGAGCTTTGTTGCAACCTGCAGGTGTGAATGTTCCATAAGCAGTAAGCTTTTTTTACGGATGTGTGTGCGTGTGAGACGGAGGAGAAGGAAAGACGGAGTGTGAAAATAATATCCTCAGTAATAGTTGATAATAGTTATATTGGTGGATGAACAGTTTCATTCTTATAAATGTACATTTTCAGGACCTTCACAAACCTTTTCACTTCCTGGTGCGTGTAAATAATCCCTGAGAACGAGGGCCCAAGTTTTCATCCAACATTAAGGATCTGCAGCTCGGCCATATTGTCTTTCATAATAGTGGGGAATGAACGGAGAATGACCATAAACACAGTGGTTGTCGATTCTTTTGGGAATATTTATTTCTCTTACATTAAGTATAATCACAGACGAACACACATTCGGTCTTGACTCTTGGAGCTGATGCAACCACAAACAAATATTTAGAGACACGCATTGCCCTTGCCTTTGAAAATGATTCAACCAGACAAACAGGCTGGCGTGCAAAACTTCAACAGACACAAGCACACCCCGTGGTTAACGAGTTAAACGAACAATTTAATAAACACATGCCTTCATATTCTGTGTAT